ATGCAGAAATTCCGTTTAAACTTTCTAGATACGTTCCACTTCGATGACGATAAAATTCTACTTTTTAATTTAATTAGATGTTTAATTAGTCATTAACAAGAAATTAAACGGTTTTGAAACTAAGGGGAGATAACAAAATTAAATCACTCGATAAATTACTATATATTCAATAACAGAAGGGGAGATAGTTAGATAGACGCTCTAACAGTCTAGTGAGCTGTGATTCACGCCGAATGTTTACAATCGTAGATCCGGTTGATCAAGTGAAGGCTATTAGGGCAGATAATAAAGTTTTTAAAAGAAAAGTGAAACCAAGGGGAGATTAAAAGAAAATCACTTGGTATATTACTATATTACTTAACAGAAGGGGAAATAACTAGCTAACGCTTTTACCCGACCAGTCAGGTGAGCTGTGGTTCACGAGAATGTTTACAATCGTAGAGCCGGTTGATCAAGTGAAGGCTATTAGGGCAGATAATAAAGTTTTTAAAAGAAAAGTGAAACCAAGGGGAGATTAAAAGAAAATCACTTGGTATTTTAATATATTCCTTGACAGAAGGGGAAATAACTAGCTAACGCTTTTACCCGACCAGTCAGGTGAGCTGTGGTTCACGAGAATGTTTACAATCGTAGAGCCGGGTGATCTAGTGAAGGCTATTAGGGACAGGTAGTCAAGTTTTCAAACGATTTGAGAACCTGATTACGAGCTATCCTCTTTCTCAGGTTGCCGTTGTCTGTAAATTGTGGTCACGGAAGACTGCTTTTCACAAGGCAGATAATCATCTTTTAGAGATTGCGAGCCACGTATGGTGTTTTAAAGAACATATTTAATAAATTATGAATCACCGTAAAATAGAAAATACAACAAATAAAAAAATGCTATATAACAAAAAATTATTAAATACACTGAAATTCAGAAAATATTAAACACACTTACTCTTTTAATAAAACATTTATCGTTCATGAGATCTCTTACAAATTTTAGCGATCAAAACTTTTTTAAAAAAAGAGCAACTTTGTTGTATTTTCTTATTTTCAGTGCATTTAAAAGGTTGTTATTATACATGTTTATACATGTTTATAAATATATATATATATATATATATATATATATATATATATATATATATATATATATATATATATATATATATATATATATTATATACATAACAAAATAAATAAAACAACAAGTGTTGCCTAGCTTAGAGTCCCAACCTTTACGTTCGCATCTCCCCTCCCCACAGCCCTCTCACAAACCAGGTCATAATCTCCTCCAATCAAATCTGTTTTAGTAATCGTGTCGATAAAGATCTTGTTTGCTAAACCGAAAATTCCCAAGTTCAAACCCCGGGTAGATGAAGCTCAATAGCTGGGGACAGCCAACCATCTAGGATAAAACATTTCCAATGAAATAACTGGTGCTTTGTAGTTTGTTCTTGGAACAAAGGCAATTCAAAGTTGGTTTAAAATTTAGTAAGTAATGTAACCAGTGAAAATGCGTTCAACCTTATACTCTCTCTCAAGATTACAAGTTCTGAACTATTTGATTTAGAGCGAAATCTATTTGAGATATAGAAATGAATTTCAAATACAAGGTTGTGCTAACATTGAATTTGAATTATACACCTTCAAATAAAAAAAACATTCATATTCCCGATATTTTGATGGGGAATTTATTAAGAATACCGTTTCAGAATATTACTCATTATTAATCAAACAGCGCAAACAGGAAGACACCCAATAGCTTCAGGGGAAATAACCCCCAGAATAAATGAAAAGTACGGTTCACGAAGACACAAAATAAAAAGTAAATAAATTGTTATCTCCCCTGCAATCAGGAACTAAAACTCGGGAAGTTTATAATTTAGTTGCTCTTAAAAAAAAAAGGTGATTCATCGATGTCAAAATAATTTATGAGACCCACGTTTAAGATCACATATTAAAGATCACTATTACATACAGAGTTACATAGATACACAATTACAGTAAACTTTTAGAAAAGGAACGACGTGGCGCAGTAGTAGAGCACAAGACTGCTACCCTGAACGTCCCGAGTTCCATGTCCTTCCAACACTTGAGGCTCGTTAGCTAAGGATATCCACTCACCCTTAAGTCGACATGCCAGTAGCTTAGCAGGGTGTTCTTGGATGAAAAAAGGGGAAGCAAATCTGAGAATAAAATCAGGCTGAAATCAATGCCAACTGGCCATTTGGTGCCTAATCTGTTGGCAATTAAAACAATGACCAATGTTACGGCAAATAGAGTTTCTTCCAGGCATCTCTTCGGGGGGGGGGGGATTTATATAGAAAATATATACTTTTAACAGTGTCCGTCCCCCCGGAAATTTTAATCCGCCCCCCCCCCCCCCCCGATGAAAATTCTAGAAAAACACTGACGGCAAACCCAAAAACCCTAGCCTGGACCGTAAGCCTAACAATACAAAACTCTCACTGTAGTTTCAGCGGCGTGGTAAGGCTCATGGTTCTAAACGGAAAAGCCCCGAGTTCGAATCCCTGGACAGGTGAAGCTCAATACTTAATCTAATCTACGGGAGAAAACTCCAAAATCAATCACTTTCTGCCTTGTAGTTTGTTCTTTGTTGAATAAAGGCTATTGAAGCAAATCGAAAAAAGAAAAGCAGATTGAAATCGGAGTCAACGGGTCATAAGTGCGCATAAGGTGTCACGTAATGCTTAACTGTCTTTAAGGAAATCCCGTCCAACATTAGAATTGAGAACGAAGTAGAAGAAGTATTACTATCAGAGGCGTAGCGACCCTTCCCGGCGCCCGGGGACAAACTTTTCGATTTGCACCCCACCCCCCCTCAAATTTCGATTTGCACCCCCCTCAACCTTTCAATTTATTTTTCCAACCCATTTTGGCGCCCCCTAAGGTCAGCGCCCGGTAGAATTTTTCGGGGGGGGGGGGCTATCAAACAATACGGAATGTCAAATAAAAAAAATAATAATTCAGATGTGACGTCATCAACGAGAGTATACAATCTTTCCCTTTGAGTACCGGGTTCGTAGTACATTTTATTATTGTAAACGTTTTTCCTCCCACCCACACTTCCGGTGGGAAATCCCAACACCGATCTCACCCAATCACGTTGAGCAATAGGGCCAACGCCTACAGTGTGACCTACTAAAGGAAACGTCTGCTTTTTATAAACAGACGAACTGGCCCATATATTGAAGAGATATGGCGGGAAATAGCGGCCTTTGATCGTACGTCCGGTGAACCGTATCAGGCTAAAAATAGATTACAGTTGTTTATCCAGATTAAAAATAGAAGGGATATTTACCCGAAAGCAGTTATTAAACGACTAAAGTGTTTGTATTAAATTCCTCGATTACATTTTTTAACATATGCTAATGTTACGTCAAATGTTTCCAATTTTTCTAACACCCTTCCTTTCTCCAACGACACGCTAAAGTAGTGGCTATCCATTAAGGTAAGTCTACATATTAGTTCAGCTCAGCCCCCTTTCCCTCCCCCCCCCCTTTCATCTCTCTTACGTCACAATTTGTGTCACAAAAAGTAAGTACTCTCCAAAACGTCATCACAAAGTTTGACCGTAGATCAACCCCCCCCCCCCCTTTTTCACACACACACACACATGCAATATCAATAATTCTTTTAAAAAGTGTTTTTTTTTTTCATTTTAAAAAAAATACTAAAGTACTCTTACCTTAATTTTTTAAATACTTGGCAAATAGTAAGAATACAAATAAATTAAATTGAGTATTTATATTTACACTGGCAATAAGTTTGTAAATTATAGATATAAAATGCCATAAAAATAGAATGCGTTTTGTTAAATTTCTACTGTAACATTTACCATACCAATTTGGTATTGAGAATTATGATTTTCCTTGGATTTCCTTATTGTTTTTTTTTTCTGTGTTTACAAACTTCGTTAGTTCCGTGTAAACTATGTTTGGGCTTTTATTTTTTGCGGCATGCTGGGTTAATGCTGATAGGGTTACATTGTAGATTTTACTTTTTACCCCCCCCCCCCCCCCACGTTACATTGTAGATTTTACTTTTTAACCTCCCCCCCTCCCCCCATGAACGAAGTAGAAAAATGTATAATTTATTTGGAAAATATATACTTTAGCAAGAGCCCGCCTTCCCCTCTACGGAAATTAAAGTAAAAAGTTTTACGTTCCCCCTTCTCCCCGCCCCACCCCCCCCCCACCCAAGCTTGAGAAAAAATGCCTGAAAGAAACCAGAGTTTCTTCCAGGCATCTCTTCGGGGGGGGGGGGGGAAACCCCCCCCCCCCCCCTAAAAAATTCTACCGCCCCCCCCCCCCCGAACGAAATGAAATTTAGATAATTTATATAGAAAATATATACTTTTAAAAGTGTCCGCCCGTCCGCCCCCGAAAATTTTAACTGCCCCCCCCCCCCCCGGAGAAAAAAGTCTGGAAGACACACTGAAAGAAACACTGTGCACAATAAAGTGGCCCTAAAATATATTGATCACAACGAACAGAGTTTGATAATAATAGTGTGACGTGGCATTTTGGTTAGAAGCATACGCTTATGTGTTTTGGGCGTGGGGGGGGGGGGGGGCGTAGGTAGAAAATGGCGGTTTAAATTTAAAATGTTGTCCCCCTTAATAATCATGTCTTACCTCTATTTAAAAATATCAATTAGCGTCTTTTTATTCCCTGAGTTCCCCGTTAGAGCAATATTTAAATAATTTACATTTTTTTACAAGCATGCTAACTAACACCATGGACACACAGTGTAAACTTGTAAGCCATTGTAAGCATTTGGCTGTGTACTAGTCTAAGCAAAGAGATAGAAGAACTCGAGGTCGAAAGGTCAACGCAACAGAAAAAAAAATCGACCTAGTTTCGGTTACTGATCTCCCCCATAACGGAAAGGAAATATAAAGGTTAAAAATAACAACTATCGGTAAAACCCGCGAGGCCGGTCCAATACAAATCGAGCGGAGAGGAGAGAATTAGCGTAGAACAAGAAAGGCCTTACAACTGGTCGCTTCCTGTTTGTCAACTTTACAGCCTAATACTTTAATTTAATAACAGAATAAATTGTGGAAAAGTCTAGCCGTTTATTCATATCTACAAATAACGCAAATAGTAAGTAAACTCTAGAAACTCTATAGAATCTAGAATCTAGATCTAGATCTAGTCAATGGACACGAGCGAGAAAACTCTCAAAGGTATTTGAGAGGTGTATAAATTAGTTTAAAAATCAGGCACGGCGTAGTTACAATTAATATGGTTATAAAATCCTGTCTGTCTGGTTTATTTCGGACTTTACTAAAGATTGGGTCTATTTGATGTTTTAAAAATTTTCGGTAACTAATTGAAAATTTAAAAACAAGCCAAAACAATTTGGTTTTCACGTGTAATGGCGACATAAACAATGGCATCCTGCTATTGGATAGGCCGACATTGATTTTATTGTACACATTGTAAGCTAAAAATAGAAAACTAGGTCATGGGGTTTTTAATTTGCATTGTTATTTAAAAACTTGATCTGCAAAGTTTTGTAAACAAATAGTTATCGATCACTAAGTTACTGTACAGCCAATCAATATTTGTCTTACGAAAGTGAAACATCCGGTTTTAACTTAGGCTTGATGAAAATAAATAGAAATGTAGCCTTAAACTCAACAAATTATTTTCAAGTTCTCTGGATTTGCAACTTTTATAGCATTTATTCTAAAAATATAAAATTTCTAAATTAATTTTAGGCTTAAGTTTTTATTTTTTATTTTTTTTACGGTCTAAAATCTAAAAAGCACGTTTTTATTCCATGTCAACAATATTATGGAAGGAATCTCGTCAACTCGCTCGCCTCCATTTTCAATCTAGATAGGGCCTATTGATAAGTAGAAAATCTATAGGTTAAGAGTTAAGAGTTAAGAGTTAAGACTGAGTAAGACAAGCTGTCTGAAACACTCTGACCACTGGTATTGGTAAGGTTGTCACTACTCCACTACCCTGAAAATTTGAAAATTGTTGTAATTAGCTAACTATAAATAGATTTTAAAGACTATTTGTTGTTGAGAACAAAAGTTAGATCTATATAACTTTTAGCCTTTTAGGTCTATTATTTTATTAGGCTACTATAACAGACATCTCAATTCTAAATCATCAAGATGTAGATCAACAATTTAATCAGTAGACTTAGATTACTCCATATAAGTGTAATTAGCCTAATTACAAATAAGGTCCAATCATAAATATCATAAATATTAATTACATCTGATTTAGCATGGCACTTTTGGTTTGAATATCAGCATTACATTATGTCTAATTATGTCTAGAATTATTCTTAAAGACCTAGATCTATATTGATGTCATACTTTGCAACTTTAAAACAACAAAAAAATAATGATTACAAAAATGAAGAAAACCATTGTTGGCAGTATTATTAACATAGTTAATTCAAATAGGCTACCTAACTGATTTAATATTTTTAGTCATCATCAAGTACCATGCTTTTTAAGTTTTTAGTATAACTTACTTATAATCTTTTATCGTCTTTTTCCAGACTTACATTACAACATCAGCACCGAAGTCTTGATTTTAAAAGATGCCTAGGCAAAGTGAAGGTGTTTCTGTCAAGGTTTGCTTCAGGGGTACGGATCGTTATGTAACAGTCCCAGACAACATCAACGTTCAACAGGTAGGCCTTTAATAATATACATACAAATAAAATTTAGCCTAGATTGTTGCTCATTATTGTGTTCACCTTAAACCAAACTTGCTTTGTTTGCTAATTTAAAAGTTTTTATAAAATTCAGCCTAAAATCAAAACAGATAGCACACTTAGCAAATCAGGCAGAACATTTTGTAAATATTATCAGCCTAACATCAAATCAGGCAGAACATTTTGTAAATATTATCAGCCTAACATCAAATCAGGCAGAACATTTTGTAAATATTATCAGCCTAACATCAAATCAGGCAGAACATTTTGTAAATATTATCAGCCTAACATCAAATCAGGCAGAACATTTTGCAAATATCATCAGCCTGAAATCAAATCAGGCGGAACACTTTGCAAATATCATCAGTCTAAAATCAAATCAGGCAGAACATTTTGTAAATATTATAAGCCTAAAAATAAAACAAGCAGCACACTCCATATACTTTCATGTTCAGTGTTTTACGCTAGGTTCTAGAACAATTTAGAGATCTGGGTTTTCACCTTGATTAGTTTATCTAATATAAATTAATATAAATCTGACACATTAGGCAAGTGGTGGCACTTATTACCACACAACCCCATATACAAAAAATCCACAAAATTTTTAGCATTATGTTTGAAAAACAAAACTCAAAGTTAAGCTCAAAGCTATGAATATTAAACTTATGTTGTTTTTTTGCAAGCCATACCCATTTACTTTGAGAAATTTTTGTTAGATTTTTTTTTCATTTAGAGATATGTAAATTGTTGGTACCAAACAGCAGAAGTTATTTTTCAGCGAAGACAATTTTTGTCAGTATCATGTTTTGTTCAATTAGAGTTAAGGCAAAATCAGAAGATATTAAATAAAAAAGACATTTTTTTTTCAGTTCAAAAGTATGATCTTATTCACGTTGCCTAAAGATGAAACCCCTGATGACTTCGGGGTGTGTCTAAAGTTCTGCGACGGTGAAGTAAGATTACTTGGTGATGACGAGAAGTTTGGGGATCTACTTGTCCGATGTAAAAAAATTACTTTTATTTCAAGGTCAGAGTTGGTTTTGTTAATACCCTTCTTGGTTTTACTTAATCCTTATACACTTTAGAAGCATGAAAAAACATTCAGTTTATTTATTTTTAAATTTTTATTTGATTCTCCCATTAGCTGCATTTACATATGAAGATATTTTGGTAGGTGTAAATGTGCTCTATAAGATATTTAATAGGGTAATATAAGGGCTACACTGAAAAATCATCATCATCTATTCATATTCATGCCCCAGACACATGGGGCAGATGAAGTAGAGTTCATCTGTTTTGATGACCTCGGTGTACAGTGGGATAGTGTTGCCAGCACTATGCCTAGCTGCCTTAGTTTCCCTTGCTAGAGTCAGGTACCTATCAGAGTTGGGTGGACTCAAAGGGCGTCTCAGGATCCAAACTTGAGACTGAGACTTGTGGACTAGCATTGGTAAGCTTCGTCCATACCGTCCCACTAATTAATTACCCTAAAAAGAAAAGCCTAATATTTACCAATTAGGTGCATCTAATTTAAAACATCTGTCCTGTTGTTTGTTTTCTCATTCGTGTGCTAATTATTACCATAAATTACCTTAACAGAAAAGGTGAGACTAAACCAAGTGCTTCAACTAGCCAGGACATCCGATCACCTTCTAAGGTTAAACAACAAAATAAATGTGAGTAAAAAACATCATTTCTTAAATAAATATTTCTATAACTTTTTTTTTATTACTTTATAATGTTTAAACAAATATTTTCAAAATTTAATTAGATATCCTATGAATTTTATTGATTTTTAAAAAAGTTGAGATAAAATAATTTCATTTTAATTACTTTAAGTTCTAAATGTTATATAGGAAAAAATATAATCTTTAAATACTTTCAGAGTGTTTGTATTTGAATAATGTATTAGTTCACATAAATATTGAAATATTAAAGTTCATGCAAAAAAATATCATAAATTAGGCCTATATAATTTAATTTCAAAATCAAATAATCTAAGTCAAAACATTTTATTGTATTCAGTAGGCAGTTCATGGTTTGATAACCTCCCTTCATCAACCCAAACCAAAGAGATCACAGAAAAAGATGCAGCGTTACTGTCCCTGTGTATTGAACATCACTGGAGGCAGATTTTAATCCAACTTGATTTTACTGCCGCAGAGATCGATAACGAATTTTACAATTCTGAGTTCAATGTGAGCGACACTATAACAAAGCTGCTGATCCGATGGCATCAGAAGCACACAAGAAAGGCCAACTACCTAGCATTTGTTGATGTTTTGAAAAGATTTGAAAAACTTGGGAGTTCTGTCCCCTGGGAGAAGCTGCAAGTTGCCATGCTAGGGGAGGCAAGTTAGGATGAATTTTTAAAAAACCTAGCAAACATTTAAATCCCTGTGTTCATGTTAAAAAAAAAGTAAATAAATAACAGCTAACACATTTTAGTTTACCTTAAAGCCACTGTGATGAGCTTAAATTATGATGTATGGCTTAAACAATGTAAATCAGCTTTAAACTGTACTTATGTGCTTAAAAGAAAATGTGTTAAAAAATTGTGATGATGTGCTAATAAGTTCAAACACTGCCAATAATATAAAAGTAGATGGTGAAATAAAACTTAGCCATGCAGCACTGGAGATGGTGTTGGCATAAGTTTGTCTTAGTTAGAGGGCATAGTCCTCCCTAATTATATTTCATGTCTCATAAATTGCTCTAAGTGGACCTTATTTCCAAAAGGCATTACTAAAATAATCAAACTATTTATTATTGAAAGGATTCTATTTATGACAGTAAATACAGCCACACAGCCAAATATTAAGCCCCTTTGCCAGAATCTCAAGGTTGTCTCCCTTGCCATAACCCTTATATCATGGTTGTTATCACCTTTGTCAACTTGCCATCCTACCCTAGCCAATGTGGTAAATGTTTACATATGTTTTCATACAGTCTCTTAAAATCAAAATTTATTTTATACATAAACATATACTTAGTAAATATTATTACCTAATTAATGTGATAATTGTTTGAATTTTGCTACCTTAAAATATTTTCTAACATATTTTGATTAGGTGTGATAAACAAAAAATTAACTTATCTGAAATGTTAAATGTATTTCCATTCTTTCCCTTCTTTTAAAATTTTATCTGAAGTTTAATAAATCCTGCAATTAATACATCCAAATGTGTTTTATACATGAACATATATTTTGTAAATATTGTTACATAATTAATGTGATAACTGTTTTATTTTTACTAACTTAAAATATTTTCTCCTACTATATTTTGATGCTCTTGTTGTAAACATGAAAGAGGTTTGATAAACTCCACAATAAACAAGTTGTCTTTTCTTATAAAAAATAAATTATCTGAATAGTGTAGAATTATAAACTGCTCACCAAATGAACACAAACATTGTGTGTATAATAGAGCGGATAATTAGTACTTTTTACAGGAAACATTAATTATTAGATTTAAAAAAGTACTTAAACATATGCGGCTGGGCATAGTACTGACCACACTATCTCTTCATATGCCGAGGTCACAGAAACAAGTGAACTCTACTTCACTTGCCCTATGAACCGTCATGTTTGAAAAGGGAACTTTACTTTTACTTATACATATAATTAAGTCACATTTTTGTTTATATAAATATAGAACTCGTTAAAAAGTTTGAAAGAAATAGGTTCGGTTAAAGTGGTTAAAATTTTGTTCCCAAATTACATAAAGTTAACAAAGTCAAATAAATTCGTATGGTTTTTTGTTTGTTTCGATAAATCGTAAATAACGTAAGGCACTACTGCTTGTCGTCACTAAAAAATTAATAAAATCAGATTTTATATCTATGTATTAAAAATTTCGCTAAACTAACGTAAATGGTATTTTAGAAACTAGTAATAGAGTTAAGTACCACTTCTGGATACTGAAGGTTACTCTGAAAATTTAAAGTAAGCCAAGTCTAAGATTTAACATTTAAAAATGAAATTTCGTTTGGATAACTGAAGAAATAGTCAGGTAAAGTATCACTTCCGGATACCGGAAATTGTACGGGACGGCATATTAGAATGGTAGAGCGTTTGGCTGTCATTTCGAAAGGTCTCGACTTCAGATATCGGTTTGGACTTGATATTGTAGGATGTCCCTGAGTACCATAAGCTTTGATGGGTAGGGCCTACCTGACACGTTGGGAAAAGTAAGGGCCGCTGGGCATAGTGCTAACCACACCGTCCATTCATATGCCGAGGTCAAGAAACATGTACTCTACTTCATCTGCCAAATGGGTCGCTTGGTCTAAAGAGGAACTTAATTACTTTTGCCGGAAATCGTACAAAAGTTAATTGCAACATCTATATATATATAATTCTCTTCTGGGAGCCGTTAGAAAACAAGCTGCAAACGCTCTCCCTACCTCCCCACCCCTACATGGTTTTAGTGAGCTGTGTTCACTCTAAATGTTTACAAGCAGAGCCAACGATTTTAAAGGTAGGGGGGGGGGGGAGGGGGGGAAGGAAGGGGGGGGGGGGGGTTATGGTCCTTAACGAGCTACTTATAGTGTTTTAAAGAAATATTTTCAGTGTCAGCGTTGGTACTGCCGAATTCACAAATTATGAATTTTTGAAAATTAGAAACAACTAAATAGCGGCGTATGTTATGCCGCGGGCCGGCTCGTACATTTTAATACTGATATGTTTCGTTCTCCTAACTAAAATGATACTTTTGATAAACCGGAAATCCTACAAACTTTACTTCCGGCTATCGGAAATTAAACATAAGTTTATAGAGAACAACAAATTATATATAAACGTCTATAAAAATTATGTTTTGTCAATATAACCCAAACAGCACTCTAGTAATCGTATTCGCTGACAGACAGACTGACAAAAGGATACACGGACAGACAAGCGCAGAGACAAAAGTGCAAAACTGATTTTTTCCGACAAGAGAGGTCTAAAACGTCGATTTTTGCAAGATTACAATACTTCCTTTATACGCCAAATAAGATTAAATAAATTAAAAAAAAAAAAAACTATATGTGGCAATGTTGGTTAATATTTTCCCAAAAAAACAACAACAACGGATTGAGTCAGCTGTGTTATTGATTGCTATTGCGCAGGTGAAAATAAAACTCTCTACAATTTTCTGAGAAAATCAATCAAACATAGATCTACATCCCATGCACTAAATAAAAACGGGAATTCACAGCATGAGTTTATATGTCATATAGTTCCATCGTCACTTTTAGCACAGAGTGAGTCATATATTTCGATAAATATATACTAAACATACATCACAATTTCGCTCGACTTAAGCAAGCGTGATCGATAGTACTATGTAAACACTACACGCCAGCTTAGCACGATGTTATGGATTCATTTCTTAGTGTTATCGATGTAGCTTGCGTTTTTTTATGTTTGAGATAAATAATGTTTGAAAGCCTGAATCAATTGAAATCCAAAGTATTTCTTAAAGCTGGATTTAGAATTTTCGCCCGATTAAAGTAAGTCCCATATACTCCGCATATGATGAAGTACTGAGGTGTAAAACGGTGAAAACTGTCAAAATTTCATGTGATTTTTGTGCGCGATTACAATACTTGCTCTATACACTGTACACGAGAAAGTAAAAAGACTAATTTTATGCTGTGATTGTGTTCCTTTAGAACAATATCTTTTCAGAATAAAATTAAATTTAAAAAAACCTGCTTAATATGACACCAGTTCTAACACAAACTGTTCTGTCACTTTAATCACAATACACAATAAAATATATTAACATCTTTCCGATTCTTTGTTCTGAGCTTCCCGAAATGATTAAGAACTGTTTTCCTGAAAAGAAAAATCCTGTTGTATAGATTGCATCCTAGGTGAGCGGTATTGTTTGTTCTCTTTCTATTGGTTGTTCTTTTTGTTTGACGTCAGGGCTTATTTATAGGAAAGGTCGATATCTGGAGAGTTACTCGATTTAGCCATACACAGATGTCGGTGTTGCAGCTGTTTCATCTAAAAGCAGAATTATTGATTGATTTTCATGAGTTTAAAGGTTAGAAATAATATGTTTATTTAGACAATAAGGCTAAATTTTCTTCAGATTATGATTGCATTTCTAGCTGACATCATATAAATAATTAAAATAACATGTAAAACCTTACGGTAGAGCAGTAGAGTTCACGTATTTCTGCAATCACGGCATACAAAGAGACAGTGTGGTCAGTACTATGCACAGTCGCCTTTACCTTTCCAATAGTGAGTAAGGTTGTACTAGGGGATGCTTTACGGGTTTGAGACCGGGATCCGAACTTCATCACTCGACCACGCTGGCCAGCTTGAATTGAGTCCTTCATTAGTTTTTCACAATTTAGCCAGTTCCATCACCCATATCCTCTGTTCTTCTATATTCTAAGGGTAATTAAAATGCCAAATTAGCGCCGCTGCTCTTCCCTAAGCTTGAATAAAATAGAAGGGTTGAGGGAAAGTTTAGCAACCATTTTTCCGAAATAAAATTGTCTTGAAACGCCCACAATATGTAATGATTAACATAAGGCAGTCCTGCTAATGGACGAATAAGTCTAAAGTCTAAATATTTGATTAGAGTGTACAGTCACCGCAGTGGGAACATAATTTCTACAACGCAAATGGAAGATCTTGGAAAGTCAGGAAGATGGAAATGGCCCTAGAAGCAGCAGAAATGCGACGATATCAAACTATTGAGTGAGACTAGGTTGATCATGTGTTTAGGCTTTGAAGACGTAGATTAACTGCATGCCCATGGTGGTATTCATACAGTAAAACTAGATGGGATGACGCTTATTGGATGAGACGAAGATAACCAGAGGCGTAGCGAGGGGGGGGTACATATGTCCCCGGGCGCCGACCCTAGGGGGCGCCAAAATGGATTGAAAAAAAAATCTCATTTTAGCTGTAGCTTTGTATTATAAATATAAAAAAATGTATTGGGGGGGGGGGGGGGCGCCAAATTGAAAGTTTGTCCCCGGGCGCCGGGAAGGTTCGCTACGCCTCTGAAGATAACTGAAGGATAATCAAACCAACTATTAAAAGCAGGATAAGTAGGATATATATGATCATAACACAGGCATGTGCCCCAAGAAATAAGACCATTTAGGAGCACAAAGAAGAGATTTATAACTGTTTACTCTGCATCATATAGAATACAGCTTTTAGACACATAGGAGATAACAGTACTAAAATATGATATCAGAGCGTATGAAGTGTTCATGAGACAAGTTTTAAATGTCTACTGACTCGAGCCCGGGATCCAAACTCGAGACTAATGGTTTAGAGGTCGCACGTTCTATTATTGACCACGCCGCCCCTACAGGTGTAAAAAAAAAACCAATCAATGTTCTTCATTGTCTTTAGGAGCTGCTACTTCTGGGCTAAAGACGCAATGGGAGACACTGTGATCGTGCTACACACAGGTGACAGAGGTAAGACATCGCTTCAAAAACTTCATCTAGCCGTTACATGGACACCTAACACAAAATGGGCATCAAAAAGATGGAAAAACATGCTTAAAATTGAAAAACAAAATACATATAAAAAGATGATTCTGATTCTGGGCTATCATTTTTTTTTTAAATTGAAAAGTATCTTTTTTTAAAATATTTTTTTCGTAAATTAAACCTGAGTTTGATTCTTGTAATCAGTGGCGTAGCGAGGTCGGGTGTCACCCGGTGCGGCACTTAATGGTGTCACCCCCCAGAAGCGTAGCGACCCTTCCTGGGGACAAACTTTCAAGTTTTTGATTTGCACCCCCCCCCTCAAGTTTTCGATTTGCACCCCCCCCCCTTCAATATACTTTTGCTATTTTTTGCCTTGGTGTCACCCCCCTAAATGGTGTCACCCAGTGCGGTCCGCACCCCTCGCCCTCGCCCCCCCCCCCCTCGCTACGCCCCTGCTTGTAATAATTATTTCCTTCTTATAACTGCAGTTCTTTTTTTACACAGGATGTGTCAAACAGTTTGTCAGTTCGCGCTGGTAAGAATATTTTTATTGCAATTTCACTAATATAATCACTAGTTAAATTTAACTTTGGTTTTTCTTACTTCATAAACAGTAATACTTGCACATATTTCAGTAAGCAATTTAAATTTAATTTAATCCCATGTGCATTATCAAAATTAATAAATTGTTTTTAACGCAACTTTTGTTTATTATAGTACTTCCTTCTTATCGCTGCTAATTTCTTCGGTGATAGTGTTGATTATTGGGATAAACTCGAAGGTAATGCTTGCAACTCAATCTAACAAAACTTGCAAAGTATGATTTTAAACCAACGTCGTTTAAAATAAATATTTATTAATTTAAAATTTATGCAACCGTTCTTATTCATGTTAATGTGCATGTCCATGTTTTAGTTTTTCAATGAGGTTGAGGCGAAGGTTGGTTATATGTATATATTTATTTTTGGTTGTGTTTATGATTGTTTTGTGTTTATGTTTGTGGCTGCAATTGTGGTTAGGTTAAGAGATTATGTTCGTTTATGATTAGATTTAGAGTTAGGTTTATTATTATATATATTTTCTCCAATGTCTATATTTGCATATAGACATCAATTGGAAATGTAATATATTTCCAAAACCCGGGCAGCATCGGGTATATGTTGATTAAATAAACACACAAGTCACATACCTTTACAGGTGCGTTTTTCACAAGCGCCAGTGCAATGCCTGACCGGAACGGCTTGTCATTATTTAAAGGAGGTGAGTTCTCAAGATTTATTTTAATACTTTACTTTATTTAAATTTAAAATACTTTTTTTAAACATATAAAAAATACATACAATGGCATAGATAGACAAACCAGCTTTTTTCTAGGAGAGAAAAATTTAATATATTTCTCACTTTTTGTTTTACATGTAGTTTTAAAATGAAGAAATTTACATATTTGTAAAACTTCATAAAATGACATTTTACTCAAATAAATTGTGTGAATATTTTGTTAATCTTAGATAAAAAGTTATAGGGGTAAGTATAGTATATATTCGTTTCTTAATTTCTTTATCTAAAAATCACACTTATGTATTCTAGGGTGGTATACAAAAACATGCGGTAAATTGCATTCAATAATTAAAATAAACCTGTTTAGTAATATCCCTGTTACTTGGTTCTTTCAAAAGAAAAAAATGCTTTGACAGTTTTGTAATATTTATGTTAGAAAACAAACTATATATAAGAGAAGATTGATGCAATTGTTTTGATCAGTCTTTGTTGTAGAGTACCCTCTATTAGACACAGATTGTTTACAAAATAAAGTGTAGAAAACAGTTTTAATGAAGTCTGGCATTTAAAGATTAAGTTAAGTTAAAACACATTAAACAATAGACTGGGCAAATCTAATATATAAAGCTCAGTTCTGTAACGTGTGGCAAAAAAGTTTGTCGTTGACACTTCTATGGATTTAAGTGTTAGATTTTTTATCGTGCTCATAGTCTAAATTTACGAGTCAAAAAATTACCATTGAAAGTCTTTAAAAACAATTCTCATTCTATTTACTTAGAAGAATAATTTTCAATTATGAACACGACATAAAATTTTTAAAAAGTGTATCGACGTTTATAAAATTTCTAAAATTGTGTCGGAAATGTATTGACTGCACAGTTACTTCCCTTTAATAAAAAAAATTCTTATGAAGAAAGAATTTACATTTTATTACTTTGTTTTTGGTGTTAAGAAATAAAAAAAAATTTACATAATTAGCGGGGATTGATTAAGTGCAATATCGTTAGGTATTTTTAACACTGCCTTTTATTTATTCTATACACTGAACATACTGTTCAATAATTATTTTTTTTTAAATCAATAACATTTAATAAGCCAGGTCCTACAAATCCTATATGTTTATTTCTTTCCATTTACGGATAAGCTTGGAGTATTATCATTTTTGTTCACTAAATTGAAACAGGCGCGTCCGCCGGCGCCCTTGCATGGTTCGATTTGGCACCCTGGGCTATCATGTGAGCGCTATGCTGCATAGTTTTGTTTTTAACAGTGCGATAGACTATGGATAAGAAAGGTTACTATAGTCTTTAAGTGAATCAAATCCGGGCGTCCTCCGGCACCCCGACAGGGTGCTATTTGGCGCCGCGGGCCTTCCGGTGTACGCTATGGTATATACGTTCGCGTGAGTTCAAAAGACTATGAATGAGTTATGTACTATAGTCGTTTACTAAGTTCAATCAGGCGGTGACGTCATGGTGCGTCCACTGGCGCCCAGACAGGGTGCTATTTTGGGTCCCGGGCCTCCCGTGTTCGGTTTCGCGCCTACGTTCATTAAAGTGAGTGCAAAAGACTATGAATAAGTTGGGGTACTATAGTCGTTTATTAAGCTGAAACAGGCGATTCCGCCCCGGGCTAGACTCTGAGCACTGTGCGTTTATGTTCGCGTTAGTGTTTTCTTTGTGTTTAGGTTGGGTTTGCGTTAGTGGTTGCGTTTTGATTTGGTTCGTTTTTGTTCTTTCTTTTTTCGTTTTCGTTTGTGTTTTATCTTCTTTGCGTTTGTGTTTGGTTTTGCGTTTGTATTTGGTTTGTTTTCGTTTGTTTTTTCGTTTGTGTTTTTTTCTTTGGGTTTGTGGTTGGTTTTGCATTTGGATTTGGTTTGTTTTCGTTTGCTTTTTCGTTTGTTTTTTTCTTTGTGTTCGTATTGGTGTTTGTGGTTGTGGTTGGGTTAGTTGTTAGGTTTTTGTTTTCGTTTGTATTTGTAATTGTGTTAGCGTTATGTTTGCGTTTTGTTGTTTTGGTTTGGGTGTGCAATGACGGGTTTATGATGATTACTAAACACACAGGTAATGGTCTTTAACAGAAAGGTTTTTCACAGAAGCCAGAGCAGGGCCTGGCCGGGACGGCTAGTTATATATACGTTATTGGAACCTAATGGTGACCATTTCACATGTGTGTATGTGGAATGGTCACCATTTACAATATATATATATATATATATATATATATATATATATATATATATATATATATATATATATATATATAAAACCCGTGCATCTGTTGAAATCCGGATCTTTTCCCCATAAGGCAGATGAAGTAAAGTTAAAGTGGTTCAAAGACTTCGGCATAGAAAGGATAGTGTGGTCAGCACTATGCCCAGCCGCCTTTGTTTCCCTAACGTGAATTAGGTATTGATCAGAGCTGGTGAGCCCTAGGAACATTCTATTGACTTGAACCCGGATTTGAACTCGAGACTTTCGGTTAAGCATTTTAGGCCATCATGGTGAAACACATCACGAAAATTTCAGGTAAATCTGACAAATGTTCAATGACACATTCTTGTCCTGTTTCTGCGCACAAGCTCCTACGATTATATACAAGACTTCCGGGATCCGAAAACTTACAAGGTATTTAAGCACTATACTTTATTTACTTAGATACATCACATAACGGATGTTTGGGGGGGGGGGGGGGGGAGGGAAGACGCACTAGGACAGGAAGGGAAGAACCCTCTTATCCAAATTACTGATTCCATAATTTTACTTTAAAAATCTCTCTCTATATGTAATTCTCTACGTCGCTCAACCATGCGGGACACCATCACGCACGTCGACTTACGACTATCTAACCCTCTTACTGCCCCCTCCCTCGCTCTCTAGGCATTCGCAACAGACCATATCGCTAACATCCACACCAGTTTGACACAACGAGACAGACAAAAATGAACAACTATATTTTTCCGACACAGAGAGTAGTTGTAGATCGTTGATTTTTGTGCACGATTAAATACTTCCTCTTTACTCTGTATAAGAGTAAGTAAACAAAGAAAAAAAAAGTATTTTTGATGATTGTTGTTAATATTTCCAAGAAATGAGATTGCTTTCGCAAGCTGTGCTATTAATAGCTCTAGCGAATTTTGCAAATGATACAATTTTCTGAGAAAATCAGTCAGCGTCCCTTGCACTAAATACAAACGGAAATTCATAGCATGAGTTTGTAGGTCTAATAGTCACATCATCACTTTAAGCTTCGAGCGAGTTATATATATATATATATATATATATATATATATATATATATATATATATATATATATATATATATATATATATATATATATATATATATACATATATATATATATGTTTTTTTTCCACCGAAAAAGTAAATCACTCTGCCAAACAACATGTTTAAACAAAATTCACCCATTTTATTTATAGTAAGTTAAGGTCACTGAGGTTAGTGAGATCAATTTCCATGAATATGAAAAAAATCAGAAGTAGATATTGATTTATTTGACCATGCCGTGTGTAAGAGAGAAAGATAGTGCATCCACAGATCCTGTTTTCTCCAGCACTCATCGCGTTTTACTCACGTTTAATTTGACGACATCAGGAGAAGAACATGCATCGGGAGTCGAGGTGCTAACGGATGGTTTCGTCATACAAACGTCAGGTGAGTGACGTGATATAGTCAGTTGAGTGATGTGATATAGTCAGGTGAGTGATATGATATAGTCAGGTGAGTGATGTGATATAGTCAGGTGAGTGATGTGATATAGTCAGGTGAGTGATGTGATATAGTCAGGTGAGTGATGTGATATAGTCAGGTGAGTGATGTGATATAGTCAGGTGAGTGATGTGATATAGTCAGGTGAGTGATGTGATATAGTCAGGTGAGTGATGTGATATAGTCAGTTGAGTGATGTGATATAGTCAGGTGAGTGATGTGATACATACGTCCGTTGAGTGATGTTATATAGTCAGGTGAGTGATTTGATTCAAACGTCAGGTGAGTGATGTGATATAGTCAGGTGAGTGATGTGATATAGTCAGGTGAGTGATGTGATATAGTCAGGTGAGTGATGTGATATAGTCAGGTGAGTGATGTGATATAGTCACTTGAGTGATGTGATATAGTCAGTTGAGTGATGTGATATAGTCAGGTGAGTGATATGATATAGTCAGGTGAGTGATGTGATATAGTCAGGTGAGTGATGTGATATAGTCAGGTGAGTGATATGATATAGTCAGGTGAGTGATGTAATTCAAACTTCCGGTTAGTGATGTGATACATACGTCAGTTGAGTGATGTGATAAAGTCAGGTGAGTGATGTGATATAGTCAGGTGAGTGATGTGATATAGTCAGGTGAGTGATGTGATATAGTCAGGTGAGTGATGTGATATAGTCAGGTGAGTGATGTGATATAGTCAGGTGAGTGATGTGATATAGTCACGTGAGTGATGTGATACAGTCAGGTGAGTGATGTGATATAGTCAGGTGAGTGATGTGATATTGTCAGGTGAGTGATGTGATATAGTCAGGTGAGTGATATGATATATTCATGTGAGTGATGTGATATAGTCAGGTGAGTGATGTGATATAGTCAGGTGAGTGATGTGATATAGTCAGTTGAGTGATGTGATATAGTCAGGTGAGTGATGTGATATAGTCAGGTGAGTGATGTGATATAGTCAGGTGAGTGATGTGATATAGTCAGGTGAGTGATGTGATATAATCAGGTGAGTGATGTGATATAGTCAGTTGAGTGATATGATATAGTCAGTTGAGTGATGTGATATAGTCAGGTGAGTGATGTGATATAGTCAGGTGAGTGATGTGATATAGTCAGGTGAGTGATGTGATATAGTCAGGTGAGTGATGTGATATAGTCAGGTGAGTGATGTGATATAATCAGGTGAGTGATGTGATATAGTCAGGTGAGTGATGTGATATAGTCAGTTGAGTGATGTGATATAGTCAGGTGAGTGATGTGATATAGTCAGGTGAGTGATGTGATATAATCAGGTGAGTGATGTGATATAGTCAGTTGAGTGATATGATATAGTCAGTTGAGTGATGTGATATAGTCAGGTGAGTGATGTGATATAGTCAGGTGAGTGATGTGATATAGTCAGGTGAGTGATGTGATATAGTCAGGTGAGTGATGTGATATAGTCAGGTGAGTGATGTGATAAAGTCAGGTGAGTGATGTGATATAGTCAGGTGAGTGATGTGATATAGTCAGGTGAGTGATGTGATATAGTCAGGTGAGTGATGTGATATAGTGAGGTGAGTGTTGTGATATAGTCAGGTGAGTGATATGATATAGTAAGTTGAGTGATATGATATAGTCAGGTGAGTGTTGTGATATAGTCAGGTGAGTGATATGATATAGTCAGGTGAGTGATGTGATATAGTCAGGTGAGTGTTGTGATATAGTCAGGTGAGTGATGTGATACATACGTCCGTTGAGTGATGTTATATAGTCAGGTGAGTGATTTGATTCAAACGTCAGGTGAGTGATGTGATATAGTCAGGTGAGTGATGTGATATAGTCAGTTGAGTGATGTGATATAATCAGGTGAGTGATGTGATATAGTCAGGTGAGTGATGTGATATAGTCAGGTGAGTGATGTGATATAGTCAGTTGAGTGATGTGATATAGTCAGGTGAGTGATATGATATAGTCAGGTGAGTGATGTGATATAGTCAGGTGAGTGATGTGATATAGTCAGTTGAGTGATGTGATATAGTCAGGTGAGTGATATGATATAGTCAGGTGAGTGATGTAATTCAAACTTCCGGTTAGTGATGTGATACATACGTCAGTTGAGTGATGTGATAAAGTCAGGTGAGTGATGTGATATAGTCAGGTGAGTGATGTGATATAGTCAGGTGAGTGATGTTATTCAAACGTCAGGTAAGTGATGTGATATAGTCAGGTGAGTGATGTGATAAAGTCAGGTGAGTGATGTGATATAGTCAGGTGAGTAATGTGATATAGTCAGGTGAGTGATGTGATATAGTCACGTGAGTGATGTGATACAGTCAGGTGAGTGATGTGATATAGTCAGGTGAGTGATGTGATATTGTCAGGTGAGTGATGTGATATAGTCAGGTGAGTGATGTGATATAGTCAGGTGAGTGATGTGATATAGTCAGGTGAGTGATATGATATAGTCAGGTGAGTGATGTGATACATACGTCTGGTGAGTGATGTGATATAGTCAGGTGAGTGATGTGATATTGTCAGGTGAGTGATGTGATATAGTCAGGTGAGTGATATGATATAGTCAGGTGAGTGATGTGATACATACGTCTGGTGAGTGATGTGATATAGTCAGGTGAGTGATGTGATATAGTCAGGTGAGTGATGTGATATAGTCAGGTGAGTGATGTGATATAGTCAGGTGAGTGATGTGATATAGTGAGGTGAATGTTGTAATATAGTCAGGTGAGTGATATGATATAGGCAGGTGAGTAATGTGATACATACGTCTGTTGAGTGATGTTATATAGTCAGGTGAGTGATGTGATATAGTCAGGTGAGTGATGTGATATAGTCAGGTGAGTGATTTGATTCAAACGTCAGGTGAGTGATGTGATATAGTCAGGTGAGTGATATGATATAGTCAGGTGAGTGATGTGATATAGTCAGGTGAGTGATGTGATATAGTCAGGTGAGAGATGTAATTCAAACGTCACGTGAGTGATGTGATATAGTGAGGTGAGTGTTGTGATATAGTCAGGTGAGTGATGTGATACATACGTCCGTTGAGTGATGTGATATAGTCAGGTGAGTGATGTGATATAGTCAGGTGAGTGATGTGATACATACGTCCGTTGAGTGATGTGATATAGTCAGGTGAGTGATGTGATATAGTCAGGTGAGTGATGTGATATAGTCTGGTGAGTGATATGATATAGTCAGGTGAGTGATGTGATATAGTCAGGTGAGTGATGTGATGTAGTCAGGTGAGTAATGTGATATAGTCAGGTGAGTGATATGATATGGTCAGTTGAGTGACGTGATTCAAACTTCAGTTGAGTGATGTGATATAGTCAGGTGAGTGATGTGATATAGTCAGGTGAGTGATGTGAAATAGTTAGGTGAGTGCTGTGATATAGTCAGTTGAGTGATGTGATATATTTAGGTGAGTGATGTGATATAGTCAGGTGAGTGCTGTGATATAGTCAGTTGAGTGATGTGATATATTTAGGTGAGTGATGTGATATAGTTAGGTGAGTGATGTGATATAGTCAGTTGAGTGATGTGAAATAGTCAGGTGAGTGATGTGATACAAGCGTTCTACAAACACAACAAGAGTGCTATGGCATGTAACAGAATGTAATTGCCATGGATCAAATCTCATCGAGAATCATGCCCCCCCCCCCTTTGGTCCCAAGACACATTACGCCACCATAGAAAGCTCTTTACACTTTTGCCGGTCTCTGGTAATTTGCTTTTGCAGACCCCAAGATTTTCCTGCTATTGCAACTTGTTTGTGAAGTGCGCCTCCACGTTTCCTTAGCCTTCCTTGTTTTCTTCTTTCCTTCGGCGTCCAGTCACATTCCCGTGATATCATCTAGACCCATCCTTGAGATGTGCCACATACGGTAACATCTTTTTATTTCCTTTCATTTCGAAAACTGATTTAATTTTCATTTCCCCTGGTAGTCTATCATTGCAGATGGTGCTAGGCAAGTGAATGCCTTTTATCTTTCGCTGCCAATTAGTTCGAAAGAGTCACATAATCTGCTAGGGATGATTGTTACTTTCCAGCATTCACGCCATACAGTAGGACGCTAAGGAAGTCTGCATTTGGTTTTGGAGGAGATTTTCTTCGATCGTTATTTTTTTGCATGGTTGCAAAGGCTTGCTCTTATTTAGAGATGCATGTTTCAGCTGAGCAGTCTTAAAAAGCTGGTTCCAAATGGTTGTTGCCAGAAAGCATTTTTTTTCAACCAAAATGGAATATTTTATAATATTTAAGAAATAAATACTAAGTTACTTCCGATTTTCGTAAGGCTAGAAAAATTCAAACAAATAATTACTAGCAATATAATTGTAATTTAGCTAACACTTTTATTTTGAATTTCGATTAGTAGATTCAGGTTGCTGTGGCGATATGAAAATGTATGTTATGTTATTTAATATAAATAAACTGCTAGGCTAATGCCGCTATTGTGTATTTTATCACGGAAAACAATTGTTGTGATTTTCATTGTTTTATTTTCCTTGACCACTCCGGTTGACCTTAAAAAGGGGTTGAGTGCAGTTTTTAAAGATGATTAAAATTAAATTAAAATAATTCTTAACGACTTTTTAATGGCTTATATTGAATACAAAATATGAAAATGTGGAATCGATGATTTCCTAACGGCTTTAATTTTCAAAAATGTAACTATAATTTTATCACTTAAAAATAGTTTTTTTTTTAAAATTCAGTATATATCTATAGACTTTTAAGCCTATTGACAATGTTGCATACATATATTAAATATATTATTTGGTCTACTCGTGTGTTGATTATTAGATTCTTCGCTAGTTTACATTTAGTATATCATAACAATGAGAAATACCTGCCATAACTAATACATGTATAATATAAAAAAAATCCCAGTTTTCCAATTTAGTTTAAATAAAGTTAAAAAATAAATATTAAACGCCTAATTAAGTCTGCCGCACACAGTTAAGTGTAATAATATAATATGAGTATAGTCAGACCAATGAAAAATCACACATATAATCTCATTCGCTAGAATCGGTCTCTCAAATCTTTTCTTGGAGTCCCAAAAAATCGCTCTGTTCCAGTCGTAGAGAATCGAATTAGAACATTGATAAGAAGGAATGAGTATAGGCCGAGGGAGGCACAAAAGTATACGGCTAGAGGACATCAAGGAATTCCATGTCCGTTACTGAATTGCCTAAATCAGCAGAGGTACGGAAAATATGTCCGTTACTGAATAGCCTAAATCAGCAGAGGTACGGAAAATATGGCAAAGACGGGTCGTTCGGCAACAGTTTTTTTTTCGATATATAGCTCCTATAAGGATAATTTCACTCGTGGTCACTTTCAGCCCTCGCCATGTGGGTATAAGCTGACTGGTAGTTTTTCCACATGGTCCTTCATTTACCCAAGTCGATTGAAAAGATGAGCCAGATGTACAGAGCCAAAGTATCCTAAAATCTGTTTTGCAAATACCCAGTTTTTCACCAAATCAACAATGTTTATATAGGGAATTCGGACTGGTTGCTTCTAAATCCCTTCCGAATATTTCCCGAAGTTAACGCTTATTTTTTACTGACTCCCGCGATCTCTGGATTTATTACTGGGTTTATACGTCTAGATATTTGTATTTAATTTTTTTTACAAACAAAAAAAAAAAAACAAAAAAAAAAACAGTATTATGGTTATACAGGGAAATATAGACTCTGGTCAGTTAAAACAGAGTTCCGAATTTTCCCCGAGGGTAGCACCGTTTTTTTCGGACCCCCTGGGGCATATGTACAGCTACAAGAGTTTTCAAAGGGTTCCTGCGTGGGAATCCTTTTCGATATATAGCTCATTTAACAGTTAATATATTTTACTCTTTTTCCTAACAAGGTTTGTACTTAGTGTACAGTGGTGTCAAGTTTAAGCCGAACTCTACCCGCTACTCGGCTGATTTTACATACCAGGTTAGTGAATTGTTGAATGGATCGTAAAACAAAATGTACATTGTTAATTAACAGTTGGTCTCGTGGTCAAGAAAGATAAAGTTCCCGGGTGCGTACGGACTTAGATGAAGTACAAATTCACCTGTTTCTTGACCACGGCATATTAAGAGAGATGTAGTCAGCATTTTGCCCATCTGCCATTACTGAGCTGGCTACCCTTCAGAGCTGCTTAGGCTCCAGGACGTATTTCAGACTCGAGTCGGACTAAAAAACTTTATGTTAGCTGCCGAGCGCTCTACTCTCGACCACACAGCAGTGTGCATCATTTGATAGACAAGACAGTAGTTGTTAATAAGAGGGTATTGTTTTTAAAAGACTGCCCACATAAACTTAGAATAAAATTATATAATTTATAATTAAAACATAAATCAGATAACTTTAATCAAACTGACTATAGGTATATATATATATATATATATATATATATATATATATATATATATATATATATATATATATATATATATATATATATATATATATAGGTTGTATATATATATATATATATATATATATATATATATATATATATATATATATATATATATATATATATATATATATATATATATTTGTGTGTGTGTGTAAATAAGTGAGTACTAAAGCCGTAAATTTTCATTTAATTCTTTTGTTTAATATATGCTTATCATTGTGCGATTGTTAATAAACTATTTCGGTATTTGAACATGCATTATGTCCTCGTTCAGCAGTCAGCTTTGTTAAAGTGTTTCCGAATACTTAGTTTTCAGTGGGCTATTTCACCTTCGTTTTTCTATCTTCAGACTTGGTTCCATTACTTGCAGAAGGAAAATCCGAGATCGCCAATGAGATCAGGAGTTTTGTTGAGAACCGTTCACACTGTCTGCCCCAACTGTACTGGTTCGCAGGAATCTTCATACACAGGTAGTGTGTAGGTGTGACACTTAGTAGAAGTTTAATTGAAGGTAGTGTGTAGGTGTGACACTTAGTAGACGTTTAATTGAAGGTAGTGTGTAGGTGTGACACTTAGTAGAAGTTTAATTGAAGGTAGTGTGTAGGTGTGACACTTAGTAGAAGTTTAATTGAAGGTAGTGTGTAGGTGTGACACTTAGTAGAAGTTTAATTGAAGGTAGTGTGTAGGTGTGACACTTAGTAGAAGTTTAATTGAAGGTAGTGTGTAGGTGTGACACTTAATAGACGTTTAATTGAAGGTAGTGTGTAGGTGTGACACTTAGTAGAAGTTTAATTGAAGGTAGTGTGTAGGTGTGACACTTAGTAGAAGTTTAATTGAAGGTAGTGTGTAGGTGTGACACTTAGTAGAAGTTTAATTGAAGGTAGTGTGTAGGTGTGACACTTAGTAGAAGTTTAATTGAAGGTAGTGTGTAGGTGTGACACTTAGTAGAAGTTTAATTGAAGGTAGTGTGTAGGTGTGACACTTAGTAGAAGTTTAATTGAAGGTAGTGTGTAGGTGTGACACTTAGTAGAAGTTTAATTGAAGGTAGTGTGTAGGTGTGACACTTAATAGACGTTTAATTGAACGTAGAGTGTAGGTGTGTGACACTTAGCAGAACTGTAGTTGACAGGTAAAGTGTGGGTATACGACACCTAACACACACACACGTTACCACAGGTAGTGCGTAGTTCTATAACAAGTTTTAGGTTACATTTATAAAAAAAAATAATGGAGATAATTTAGTAATTGTTATAATATATGTTATGATCCCTACAGTTAACTTAATTTATATGCACGTAGATGTATTTTTATAGTTTAATGAAAGGTATCTTAAAATAGCTAAATATCTGCTATTCAGCAATTTCTTGGTTAAAATACCTAATATACCGTTTGTCCCTTCCTTCCTTTATCAGGCGGAGTCTTTGGTTTGGAGCAAGGAGAAAAACTGTTTGTGACAATGTCCGGTCAAGGAATCGTGGAGCTGGACACTGAGTCATCCCACTTGGGTTTGTTTCTGCTGCAAACGACATGAAAAAAAATGATTTTTTGTCGGAATTCTTCAGCTACTGATGGAGCCATGAGATCAGTGTTACTCCCGTAGACACAGTGTGATACATTCGTTATATTGTTACAGCAGTTTAAATCTTCACCTAAGTCGTAGATTTAATGTCGTGGTATTGCATTTCAAGTATGTTTTTAGGATTGTTAAACTTTATTGCAATTTTTTATTTATCATAGTTTTTTAACTATGCGCTTTTATAAATTAGCCGTCTTTATTAAACAAAGAACATGATTTTTGGACTGTGATATTTTATAAAAAAATATTTGCTCAAATTGGTACAGCTAATAGATTTATTGTCACTGCACTATTTCATTCTAATATTAACGTTGAGATTGTCGTGTCGAATATTGTGATGACAAGATACACAGCTTGCGATTATTGAAGCAAAGCGTATAATGTCAACAAAACGTTTATAAAACATATTTACATTGACATTTTCCTTTCTCTTCTAGTCATTATTAAATAACATTTAATTGGTTACTAATACTCAACACTACATTTTTATCTAAGCACAATGTAGAGCCTAACTTAAATGGCAGATTATAATAAACGAGCCGGCCCGCGGCATAACATACGCCGCTATTTAGTTGTTTCTAATTTTCAATAATTCATAATTTGTGAATTCGACAGTACCAACGCTGACACTGAAAATATTTCTTTAAAACACTATAAGTAGCTCGTTAAGGACCATAACCCCCCCCCCCCCTTTCCTTCCCCCCCCCCCCCCCTCCCCCCCCCTACGTTTAAAATCGTTGGCTCTGCTTGTAAACATTTAGAGTGAACACAGCTCACTAAAACCATGTAGGGGTGGGGAGGTAGGGAGAGCGTTTGCAGCTTGTTTTCTAACGGCTCGAAGAAGAGAATTATATATATAGATTGGTTCCAAAGCAACGGTACCAAGAAAAATCGGCACATTTTACAATTTTTTTTTTGTATTGTAGTTTATCAATTGCATTTTAATACGTAATTTTCTTTTCATTTTTTTTTCAAAGATGAATACGATTGTTATTGTGTTGGTATCAATTGTGACACTTTTGAAGGGAAATCCTGGTTTTGTGTTAAAAATATGGTACGAAGGTTTCAATTATGAGTTTAGTAAATATCAATCTCCGGATAATTTTTATTCTGTTAACAAGATTTGCGGGAAGGCGTGGCCAAGCGATAGAGAAAGTAAAGGCGGCTGTGTATAGTGCTGATCACACTATCCCTTTATATGCCGAGGTCTCTGAGTCAGATGAACTTTATCTGCCTTACTCGTCTTTGGCACGAACGTGAAAAGATTATGATGATTACGATTAGCAGTTTTAGAGTTTAGCTTGTAGTAAATTCTGTTTTTTTTTTGTGCGCACATCTTTTAAAATTTTAGTGATATATATTTATTTTGCAACTAAAGGCTTTATTATATTATTTTAATTAAAATCTGTGTTTTAGTTTATTAATTAGTCACTTGAAATAAAATAAAATTTACCGAAGCATAATTTTACGATGTTTTTTGTCTTTTAGTAAATAAAGCAAAACACTTTTTCTAGATTGTATGCGTTAGGGGAAAATACAATAGCAATGACATTTGACTCTAGACTGTTATGTTAAACATAATTAGAAAAAAATGTGAATTTATGTGATTTTACTTTGTTATTATTTCACAGTAAACTAACAACCAGAAAATGACTTAATTATATCTCCGAATGTAAACTTGTTTTAGAACTATATTTTGAGATCATATATTTTTGTAGTTCAGTTTTTGTGCGGAATTATTCTTTAAAAAGTGTTGCTCTTTCTCAATGAAAACGTAGATATATGAATACAATATAATATGCCAAGCTGTGAAGAGAGACTAAGGATTTGAGTTTTCTTGTGTTTTAGAGTGATTTTATACTTTAATGACTAATTATTGTCAGAGGCATAACCAACAATTTGCTACAAAAATATATGGTTTTTCCAATCTTTAACGGTAATCAGGACTATCAAACTTCCGCTACAGTACTATATAAACGAGTGGATAATCAACCAACTGCTATTTTTTTTAGTTTTCAGGACTGTTTAATTCTATTAAATAAAAATACTTCGAAATGTGATCGTTGACCGTTTGGACATGCAGATGCAAAATAATTAGGCACAAGTTCAAGTATTAATTAAAATATAAGATTTGCCACTGATGAGCAATGTTAAAATAATTAAAGGACAAAAGTAAAGTCCTTAGAACTAGCGTGTTTAACTAACTGCTCACAAATATCCATCTTTTAACATCACTCACTAAACTCAAGCTAAGAGACGCAAGTCAGCAAGTATATCGACTTACAAACACTAGTTTAACTGATTCAGTAAAAGTTCGCGAAATAAAGTTTAAAAAGACTCAGTCATTTTTCTACAGAAAACAATTTATGGCGAAAACAACATTATCATACAATATTTCAAGAACATAATTTATATATTCAATAACATACAACAAACATGTTACATTTACATCACATTTTTTTTGCTAAAACTTAGAGAGATTTTATTCTAGAATTTAAAAAGAGAATGAATAACTATTTTATCAACTTTTCAGGAGCAATATTATACTAGTCACATTTAAAAATCAAATCTAAAAGTGTACTAAACAGAAGAAGTTTAAAATCTCCCACATATATGGCCCATATAAAACGTCAGATTAAAATCTCCCACATATATGGCCCATATAAAACGTCAGATTAAAACCTCCCACATATATGGCCCATATAAAACGTCAGATTAAAATCTCCCACATATATGGCCCATATAAAACGTCAGATTAAAACCTCCCACATATATGGCCCATATAAAACGTCAGATTAAAACCTCCCACATATATGGCCCATATAAAACGTCAGATTAAAATCTCCCACATATATGGCCCATATAAAACGTCAGATTAAAATCTCCCACATATATGGCCCATATAAAACGTCAGATTAAAATCTCCCACATATATGGCCCATACGTCAGATTAAAATCTCCCACATATATGGCCCATATGTCAGATTAAAATCTCCCACATATATGGCCCATATAAAACTTCAGATTAAAATCTCCCACATATATGGCCCATATAAAACGTCAGATTAAAATCTCCCACATATATGGCCCATATGTCAGATTAAAATCTCCCACACATATGGCCCATATAAAACGTCAGATTAAAATCTCCCACATATATGGCCAATATAAAACTTCAGATTAAAATCTCCCACATATATGGCCCATATAAAACGTCAGATTAAAATCTCCTACATATATCGCCCATATGTCAGATTAAAATCTCCCACACATATGGCCCATATAAAACGTCAGATTAAAATCTCCCACATATATGGCCAATATAAAATTTCAGATTAAAATCTCCCACATATATGGCCCATATAAAACGTCAGATTAAAATCTCCCACATATATGGCCAATATAAAAGTTCAGATTAAAATCTCCCACATATATGGCCCATATAAAACGTCAGATTAAAATCTCTCACATATATGGCCCATATGTCAGATTAAAATCTCCCACATATATGGCCAATATAAAATTTCAGATTAAAATCTCCCACATATATGGCCCATATAAAACGTCAGATTAAAATCTCCCACATATATGGCCAATATAAAAGTTCAGATTAAAATCTCCCACATATATGGCCCATATAAAACGTCAGATTAAAATCTCTCACATATATGGCCCATATGTCAGATTAAAATCTCCCACATATATGGCCCATATAAAACGTCAGATTAAAATCTCCCACATATATGGCCCATATAAAACGTCAGATTAAAATCTCCCACATATATGACCCATATAAAACGTCAGATTAAAATCTCCCACATATATGGCCCATATAAAACGTCAGATTAAAATCTCCCACATATATGGCCCATATAAAACGTCAGATTAAAACCTCCCACATATATGGCCCATATGTCAGAATCAGTGACTAAGATTAAAATCTCCCACATATATGGCCCATATAAAATGTCAGAATCAGTGACTAAGATTAAAATCTCCCACATATATGACCCATATGTCAGAATCAGTGACTAAGATTAAAATCTCCCACATATATGGCCCATATGTCAGAATCAGTGACTAAGATTAAAATCTCCCACATATATGGCCCATATGTCAGATTAAAATCTCCCACATATATGGCCCATATAAAATGTCAGAATAAGTGACTAAGATTAAAATCTCCCACATATATGGCCCATATAAAATGTCAGAATCAGTGACTAAGATTAAAATCTCCCACATATATGGCCCATATGTCAGAATCAGTGACTAAGATTAAAATCTCCCACATATATGGCCCATATGTCAGATTAAAATCTCCCACATATATGGCCCATATGTCAGATTAAAATCTCCCACATATATGGCCCATATGTCAGATTAAAATCTCCCACATATATGGCCCATATAAAATGTCAGATTAAAATCTCCCACATATATGGCCCATATAAAACTTCAGAAACTGATCACTGACGGTCGGATGACATAACTTGTTCGCAGACGCCACTGTCATCGGCCATGTCACAGCCAGCATGACCCTGTCACTGACACCCCTCAATACCCGCCTCTGTAGCTCCAACATGAAGGCATTCATCCTCTGCTTGACAGGGCATCCGTTATCAAAAGCCGCATGCACCGTCTGGTAAATTACGTACGCAGTAGGGTTACGTTCTACTAGTCGTTTTATGGCGTCCCGTACAAGAAGGAGATGGTTCTCTACCACAGACATATGAAACGATACAATGTGGAGGTATTCGTGTATGTGTACGACGTATTTTCCTTCCTTTGGAATGTTGTCCATAAGTTGCAGGGATGAATGAACGTCTGTATTGCTAATATATTCACGCTGTCAGAAAATTAAATAGATAATAATTAATCGTTTGTTAACATATATAAGTATAGAAATATACAAAAAGTATTCACGCTGTAGTATCTTTCATATTCTAGATATAAAAAGTAAATAGATACGAACATATATTTGAAATGGTGTATAAAATATTCAAATTCCAGAATATAAGAGACACCGATCATTCCAAATATACAATTATTTATATTCAAATTTATAAAAGATGGTTTACCGGAGCTCCATAGAACGGATGTTTATGTGGGAAGTATTTGATGTATAGACCTAAACTTTCATTGACACATAGTAGGGGGGCGTGCCACTTCACCTGTTGGATAAAGAGCACATTTATTTAATTATATTATTTGTCATTGAAATATATTGTTTATACATACACGTTATGTAAGGGAGCCGGACTTTTTCTCGATAGACACCTGCCCGAATGCCGTTTGCCCGAAGGCCGATTTCCCGAATGGACAAATGCGCAATTGTTGCATTAGGGCAAGCGTCCATTCGGGTAATCGGCTTTCGGGCAAACGGCATTCGGGCAAGTGATTTTCGGGAATTTATCGTAGACCCGTTACGTAGGCATATATATATATATATATATATATATATATATATATATATATATATATATATATGACCAATACGTTAATTAAAACAGTCCTTACCTTGGTCATCTGTATCTTGTCCTCGCAGCCGGTCAGCAGTCTGAACCAGTGCATCTGAGCCCTGGAGTTCGAATCCCCTAAAATATACACCTTTAAACACAACGTTTATGTCGTCCGTTAAAATCTGCCTTAAGATTAGACCTTAATCCCCTAAAATATACACCTTTAGACAGAGAGAAGATAAGAGAAGTTAATTCTCTAGGATATACACTTTTAAACGCAGTTTGTTTAATTCTGTCAAGATTAAAGATGAATCTCCTAAAAGATACATTTTATTAATACACGAAGTAGATTCTTCTGCAAATATTAAAATATACTTTAACCAGTTCGGCTACACCGGAAATTGCAAATTCTCCCCACCCCGGAGAAAAATATCTACACGAAAACCTGTGCCCGGTTAGCTTGAAGAGTTATGTCCCTGTAATAGGGTAGATAACCAGTACCATACACTGACTGTATTCAGTATTCCTCATTATCATCAGCATCGTTTCCTGCTCGTGCATGCCCAAGAAACATGCAGTAGAGTTCATGTTTCAATAGCTCAGCACACAATGGGATAGTGTGGTCAGACCATGCACAGCCGCCTTTGTTTTCATAATGCTAATAAAGTGCCTATCAGATTGGTGGACTCAGGGACGCCACATGGTCAGGTACCCATTAGAGCTGGGTGGACTCAGGGACATCACACGGTCAGGTACCCATTAGAGCTGGGTGGGCTCAGCGACGTACTACAGACTCGAGCTCAAGACTTTCGAGTTAACAGTCGTAAGCTGTTGTATTCGAACACCCCCCCCCCCCCCCCCAAATAAAATAATTGTTAACCAATCGAAACGTCTTTAAAGAATAAACGGTTATTCATACACTCAAGTTCATGTGCACGATATCATCTATAAACAAGGAAGTTGTAAAACCGTTAAACATTGACATTTTGAAAAGAGTAAAAACTTTTTTGTACCTGGGTGTCATTCAAACATTTCAGCAGGAATTCCTTGTCTACCACAGGCAGTTGGCACTGCATGGGACGCCATATTCCAGAATAGAAAAATCCTGACGTGTTGACGTCATCGAACGTTTCCGTTAAGTTTCTTTCGGAACACGGTATCTGTCGCGTCTGAATAACGTTTCCGTCTTCTGTGAGAAAGTAGGTTTATTATAATGTTTGTCTTATTGTAACTTAGGCTTTTTGTCTTTTCTTCGCTGATCTAAACAAGTTCATTGTAAAATCTTTTTTTTTCTTCGTTGATCTAAACAATTTCATTGTAAAATCTTTTTTTTTTCTTCGTTGATCTAAACAAGTTCATTGTAAAATATTTACAACAACACATCAAAGAGAGAAAACTCCAAATAAAAAACGGATTGAGCCCCTTAGGCGATAGGATAGACAACTCGGGTTGTATGAGTATTTCCTCTCCCTTAGGATGTGTTAGGTGTTTGTGTGTGTGGAGGGAGGGGGAAGGGGGTGGGGGGGGGGGGGGCGGGGTGATGCAGGGGCTTCATCTGGCTGCATAGATTGTGACTTAATTTTCAAGTAACAAAAATCCATTTGTCTAACAGACTATGTAGACTTTGTTTACTTATTTATGTAAATAAATAGACCATATATATATATATATATATATATATATATATATATATATATATATATATATATATATATGTATATAATTACCTAATATGTTACCTACTTGATGAGACTTGAAAAGTGATGTTGGATGGAATTAAAAATGGTCGCTGACTGCAAATAGAATTAAAAACATGGCTGTAAAAAATCACAAAATTAAAAAAAAAAAGCTAATATGTATTGAACAGTCTAAAGCTAGATTCTTCGTGGATTAACTTTACTAGGGTATATATATATATATATATATATATATATATATATATATATATATATATATATATATATATATATATATATATATATGCATGCATATAAATTATATAGTGAATAATAAATCAATAAATCAATAAGAATAAATAAATAGGGTCATAAGTAAGTAAATCCACAAATTAGCAGTATATCTGACCGACCTGTCTGATAAATTGAGCAGCCTTTCCTCAGCTTCGGTCATTGGATAGTAAGCGTAAGTATCAAATTTTCTTACCCTGTTCCAGTCATTACACTAAAGATAACAAGCAAAATTATCAAAATTTCATTCATTTTCCCATCATATAACTAAAGATAACAAGCAAAATGATCACAATTTCATACATTTTCCCATCAGATAACTAAAGATAACAAGCAAAATGATCACAATTTCGTACATTTTCCAGATTACTTAATATAACAAGCAAAATTATATCGTTTCAACCATTTTCCCAATTATAAAACAAAATACAAATCTATCCACATTTTTGCCACAGATTTCATCAAAGAACATTAGATAATGATGATGGTGATGTTGGAGTAGAGTTCACCTGTTTCAGTAGGCTTGGCATATAAAGAGATAAAATAGAATGACTTACAGACAAAACTCGTGGCTTCCCACAATACCACGGGAACTGGTTGACCTCTGTAAGGTTGCAGATGTCAGTGACGTTGTATCCGGGGAGTTTAGGGATGGCTGAGCATAAGGTGACCTCCATCCGTGTATAGTTGGAGAAAACTCCGATAAGCCACTGGGTAGTGTCAAATAATCTCTGGACGTTTGGACACGGCAGGGTTAAATATATTAGACAACATAGAAATTTCTGCATATATATATATATATATATATATATATATATATATATATATATATATATATATATATATATATATATATATATATATAAAAGCAATATTTATCGATTAGCGACATGGAAATGCTAATTTTAATTTGTTGTTAAATATATTACATTTCTATTTCGGCCTGTACATTATAAAGAAGATGTATCGTACGCTAGAGAGGAAGATATCTCAAATCTCAAATATTCAGCTACGTAATTCATAGCTCTCACCTGAAAGAGAATTATGGTCCTGTACAGTTCCCTGTGGAAAGAAATAGCGGCCTTGACCTCCACTGCCCCATTCCATGGTAACGGACAAGACGCCAGATACGTCCCGTCTAAATTATCCGTGACGTCAGCAGCGATGGCGGCTTTAAGGGAGTCAGTGACCAGCCACACCCTGACGCTGGTCCCACCTGGGGAGGTCAAGGTTGTATCATTGCACACCTGCACATACAGGTGTGTCTAATGTTTGTCTTACTGTCTGAGTGTCTGGGCAGTGACCAGCCACACCCTGACGCTGGTCCCACCTGGGGAGGTCTAGGTTGGGTCATTGTACACCTGCACATACAGGTGTGTCTAATGTTTGTCTTACTGTCTGAGTGTCTGGGCAGTGACCAGCCACACCCTGACGCTGGTCCCACCTGGGGAGTTGAGACCCGTCATGGTTGAATGGTTAGGTTAGGTTGAAACATCCGTGGCCAGCTTATGTGGTTTTTCTTAACTTAAAGACCCTAATGCTGCTCTTAGCTCACATAAAGACCTAAATCCAACACTTTATTCGTAAAAAAAAAACTTTTTAAGTTAAAACATTTTCTCAAGTTAAATTGTCTTTATACTTATAAAAAACAAAATTAATTCTTTTTCTTTTAGGGCCTATTCATATTTACTCATGTATCTACTGACTGTACATATAAGTACCACATTAATCAAGCGTCTGTATTAGTTTTAATTGAAGATGAATTTTAAAAATTATTGAATAATGTATAGTATCATCTCCCCTGAGTCACAAGTAGTTGGCTGGATCGAGGTTTTTTTTCCGTTGTGGCGCTGTTTTCAAACTCTTCCTGTTACGGTAGTTCAGAATTGTGATGTACAGATCTCACACATGTTCTAAGTTTTCCTTCGTTTCACCGCTTTAGGTTTTTAAAGCCCGGATGTTTTGTTATCGCATCTCCAAGAGTCAGATAAGTGTGTTTGACTTCTTTTTGTTTTAAATATTTATATCAGATTGTCTCTGTATTAGATCAATGTTTACAAGAATATTTTGGAGTACTGTCAGGGTACACGATACATTTGTTTTAAGGATTTTTTGGAAATGGCAGATTTTTTTGTGGGGTGACATAAATATTACTTTGATAATAAATCATCGAAATGTACTCAAAAAATGATCTTCTATATATATAATTCTCTTCTTGGAGACGTTGGAAAACAAGCTGTAAGCGCGCCTTGCAGTCCCCTCTCTTCCTCTCTAGGAAGTCTGGTGAGCTGTGGTTCACGCAAAATGTTTACAATCGTAGAGCCGGGTTTAGTGACGGCTATTAGGGGCAGATAATTTAGTTTGAAACGATTTTAAACTTAGGGGAGGTAGCTAAGAGGAGGCTGCTTTCAAGGGGGGGGGGGTAGGGGTTGGGACAAAGGAGGGGGTGGGTTATCGTCCTTAACGAGCTACTGATAGTGTTTTAAAGCAAATATTTTCAGTGATAGCAGTGGTACTGTCGAATTCACAAATTATGAATTACTGAAAAGTAGAGAATAAAACAACTAAATAGCGGCGTGTGATACGCCGCGGGTCGGCTCGTATTTATATATTTTGAAGAAGGTTAGCATTGGTTTACCTAACACATATTGTAAATGCATGTAGATTTCTAGTAGTAATAGTACAAAAAGAAAGAGTAGCAGGCTAGTTTACTTCTACATATACTATAGATCTTTATGGTAAAGTTTAATCAGTAGACATAAAATAGTAGGCCACTAAGCCAATCCTAAATACATGGAGCTCACTTCTATTTATGAATTTTACACAGTAGTGTAGGCCCGGCATAAAATTCTTGTAACTATAGGTAAACCTGGCATACAGTTTGATTCAAATACTACTAGTATCCTACAAGTATCCTACTAGTATCACTAGATATCTATGATATCCATATTCTATTTAGTGGTGTACTGAAAGATAAGTTCTTCTTTTTCAGCATATTTTATAGCGCACATTATTTTGGATTAAATCAAACCTACTTTGTATCATTGTGATACCAAAATTGTTCCCTTTCAATTCATGACCAAAGTATTTTTGGTATTCATCTATTGTAATTCTCTCACATGGAGCAACTTAGTAAAAATTAAGTTACCTATTGTAATTCTCCCCCTTTGAACAATCCTGTAAATGTGACATTACCTATTGTAATTCTCTCCCCTCTCCCATTAAACAGCACCACTTGAATGTTGATGATGTCCCCTAGTCTGAACGTGCTGGAGTCATTGACTAAAACCACTTCGGAATTGTCCGCTGACGCGATGTCTCTGATATCCCGTAGAGGTGGGTGGGACAGGAAGTCTTTTTCCCAGGGGTAGAGAGGATGTGGTGAGGGCATCATCAGCTCCTTGTGATTAAAGGCGCAGCATCTGAGAAGGAATCCGAAAGCTTCACATTTTAGTTTTAATAGAGTTGCCAGATAACTATTTTTAAAGCCAGATTTGGATATTTTAATAAAATTCGGTTCCTCCAATGTATAGGTCCGAAAAGAGCAGACTTTAAAGACAATAAAAACTGAAAAGTGACAAAACAGTATTCGCCAAAAATAGGTTAGTACATACACACATAAACAGTTTAATATAATTATTATAAATACGCAGCTATAAAAACAGCATGTTCGTCATGGTCTTAAAATGAAGGACAATTGTCAATACTAATAAAACTCGAAAGTATTACTTGTATTAATTTTACTTTTGCATGGCTAATTTTACCTCCAGTACCCCACAGGGTTAGCATACACGTCCTTACACCCCCACCCCCACCCCTACATCCTTACATAGACGCCAGGTTCATCCTAGAGATGACGTCAGTGTAGTTGGCAGAGTCTGACCTCCAGTACCCCACAGGATTAGCATACACGTCCTTACACGCAGGCCTCAGCGCTAAAGACACGGCTTTACACCTGTCGTACAAATAGAACATAAATTATAGTGTTCATGATATTGTTTCTTAAGTTACAAGTACATTTTATTCTAACTTAGCATACAGCTTACTATTAAAGCAGAAATGCTATAATTTGAAAATAAAATATTAATAATTTAAATATTAAATCATTTTTTTCATAG